AAGCAACGGGGATAAGACACACCCCTGCCAAAAATCACAAAATCTTTAGATCCCAGTGATTATAATCGAATTTAGTTCATTAAGAGAATGCTAGTAGTAAATAGTCGAATTTAATTAAAATGAGTTTCATTTACTTGTCTTTGTTATTAAATATAACCCATCCAAACTTAAATTAGTAACTTTTTATTTATTTCTGCAGCCCAAACTGCTCTAACCTCAATTCAAATTCAAGAATTAGGAAAAAATTAACATGTTTTTTTTTGCGTTTTGAACATTTATCCATAAGGAACTTAATTACGGCAGAGCATCTTATAAGAGAATTATTATACTATTTTCAATTCGGATGTCGGTGGCAATCCTGTTCTTGTTTTGATAATTAATTTTAATGAAACAATCAAAATTTATGGGGATTCGTAGCTTGTAGAACCATTTCGACGCTTGAAAGGCAAACGTGACTAAGCGACAATGCGTGAACTTTACAGTAGACTAATTTAAAGTTGAAATACCTGAAAACAAAATTTATTTTAACGAATCCAGCTGTAGTAGAATCTAGCTAGTAGCTATAGGATTGAAATAATTTTAATAGACCTAGAAATATATATTTTTTGCGCATCGAATATGGTTATTGCCTATCATTTATGTACAAATCAGTTATTGTCGCTTAGTCACTTTTGCCTTTCAAGCGTCGATTTATTGATTTCGAAGGTACAAAAAGCTTTCAATCAATACGATATTTATAATTACGTTTAAAAAAAACTGAAGTTGATGACGAAATCGATTTTAATAATTCTTGATTTATTTACCTAACTACTTCACGATTTCCTTGATACCAAACATTAAGTGCTTCGTAACGTAGTTAAGAATTAGCAAATAATTATAAATAGACACTTAGGTACATGTTTCTTGACAAGAATCTAATGAAAATAATTCATATAAATAAATAAATTTTAATGATGTATTCACGTTTAGAATATTTAATTTTATGATTTTTTCTCATGACATCATTTCTTGTCAGTATTATCACGACAAGCTACAGCATCTTAAAAGCCCGTACGGTTAGGTACCCTAGCAATTTCTGATGCGAAGCAGCACTTGTGTTCCGGTTTGAGGTTTGGAACAATTATTCTATATTACTGAGACTTAGGCCTCATGTCTCAAGGTGCACCGGTTAACACCACACTGTGAGCTCGTCCACCAGTTGCACCAACATTCAAAATAAAGGTGTTTGTTCGATAAGTACGTTTTTGTTTTATAAGCAAAGATACCATTGACCTATGCATATTCTGTTTGGATTTCCACCTTATGTCTTGAACTTTAAGATGATATTCACTTGGTGATGTCTATTTTTTTTCCTACCTATGCTGATAGCCTTGCGAGGCTATATCAGCTTCTCCTTAACGCGTAGGTGAGCTCACGGGGCTCAAACCGGGAGTGTTGCTAGCACTGGCCCTAGCAAGAGCAGTGCTTCGCAGAATCTACCACCAGATCGGAAACGCGACCCACTGAGAAGATCCGGCGAGAAACTCAGTGGGCTGTGTCTATGGGTTAGTTCGCTCGTCGAGCCCTTCGTCGCCAGCGACGGGTTCGACGAGGACGGTGACCGGTGCTTGTGGTGCCTAAAAGCACCGTTAATGGATCAGGAGGATCCGTAATGACATGCTTTGGGCGACGTCGACGGTTTACCATTCGGTCTACTGGGTCGGGTATGTAGTTTTCAGCGTCTACGATGAGAGAGTTCTAATGTCGTGCCGCCTTCTCAAAATGGCGCAGCGATGCCGACTGCAGATACTTACTAACTGAATCGAGCTCCAGGTCATCGGAAACGGATCGGAAATCGGATCGGAAACGCGACTCACTGGGAAGATCCAGCGAGAAACTCAGTGGGGTGTGTCTATGGGTTAATTCACTCATCGAGCCCTTCGTCGCAAGCGACGAGTTTGATGAGGACGGTGACCGGTGCTTCTGGGACCTACAAGCACCGCTAATGGATTGGGAGGATCCGTAATGACGTTATCACCTTGTCTTCCCGTTCAATGCAAAGAAAAATATCTTATGATACGCAGTGGCTTATTTATGTCCGTGGGCGTAGTAATTGTTTTCCAAAACACTTGCTATAACTTGATAGGGATGTGGTTATTAGGAACAAATATTCGAAAAAGAATATTGTGTTCCAAAACGAAAAATCCAATTATTACACATCGCAATAGCGCTGAAATTAATTTCATGAGCTAATTAATATGTACAAACAAAAATATAAATGCAACCCGTTTTCTATTTAAATAATAAAATGGTAAATATCTTTTTATCCATATTTTGTCTAAAGCCGCAATAAGACAGTCATTTAAGCCGCAGATTTCAGTACCTTTTTTATTATTTCTTATATTATTTATTATTATTATATATTCTTATAATAAAGAATATTTAATTTGGTAGACAAAAAAGTATGCCCTTGTTAGATTGGTTGAGTATGCATATAACATAACAAAGCAAGATCATAAGAACGGTAGACACCGTCACAGATTTTGGGTGCGGTGGCTACGATGCTGATTATCAGAGGCAGGGTGACTTCCATACCTATGGCCTGGAGCCTTTGGATCTACAGAAGTGTGGTTCCAGCAACAGCCCGTGGAGCTTCGTAGTGATTCGTCCGGTACTCGAGGACTCATGAATCTCGACCGCGGAAACCTTACCTTCTGGCTAGTGCAGGTGCTAACCGAACTGTTTGGTTCGGGAGGTATTTGCAAGAATACTCGTGATATGCTGCTCATGGCATTGGTGGCACTGTGTCCTCGTCGTAAAAAATGGTACCGACGAATCATGAAAGACTACGCAAAATTTCTGTGAGTGCATCATCTTCCAGAAAGAGACGGGGGGAGCGAGAGCGCATTATTTTCTCTGCGCACCAACCCGTTGTCATGGAACCGGTGGCTGGGATAGGGATTGCATTAGAGTCCCTTCCAAATACCGGCTTGGGGGGCGTTGAGGGAGATCAAAAAAGACGACTACGACCCGAGTCGATTGACACTGGTTCTGATACGGCGGATTATCGGGGGACGTGTTGTCGGCGTCGTCTGGTCGTGCTTAAGATAGCCGGTGATTGATAGGCTTGGTGGTGGTGACGCTGATGACCGACGCTTTGGCGTCCTTTGAGTAGACATGCGTTACTCGCAAAAGGCATGACCTCGCCCCCAATCAGATGCGCGTATGCTTAACTCAAGAAACAAGAAAAATATGATAAAAGCAGTTAAACGTCGTGAAAAACCGTTATTGCAATTATTAACTGCTAAGTTCCAATCAAGCGTTGGAAGTAAAACGCAACTATAGTGGAGCGGCTAAAATCGACTTCCTAATTACGAAAGTGAAATCAACGGATACGTAAATAAATACGCTGTATAATATCAAGCATTTTAAAAAAATTACAATGATGCTTATTACATAATTTACAGTGTTACTTAGAATAGGAATAGAGAAGTTCTGATGTTATTGGAAAGTCATAATAAAAAGTTTTTCTGTTAAGACATATTTACATTTATCATATATCATTTATAAATCAAATTTACGACATTTTCTTGTATTTATACTGACTAGTGATCCCCCAGTAGTCGAAATTCGACTATAATAAATTGAACTTATAAGTTTGAATATTATTGTGGTTCTATTGTCAAAAACTTTACTTCTATAATCACAGATTTCGCCAGGAGTACTCTATAGACAAATAATATTAAAGACAAACAGTATTAATCTATTCTCAATATGAGCGCAACTAACAATAACTGAAAGAGTATTTATGCGTGTGTGTGTGTGTGTCAAATACACGGTTATGTGTGTAATGTTTTTATTATAGATTTAATGTATTTTTTATGGATAATTGTAAAAAAATATTAACAGTCTGCGCTCCTTCTCTATATTCTCCTCGATAAGCGTGGGAAATTTCATAATCCTCCGTCCACGCTATTTTCGTAAAAAAGGGTACAAAGTTTTTGCTTCACGTATTAATATATAGATAAATTAATTTTAAAATGTTAATGTCCGTCTATCGTCCGCTTTGATTAGTGCTAACTTTAAGAAGTTAAGAAGAGTTAGTAAAGTTTAAGAAGTTAAGAAGTTCACCTTTAATATTTTCGAGGGGTGAAGGCTATTTGTTAAAGCGACATTTTGGCAGCTTTGCAGGAGACCCATTTATTTAAGGTGTATATTTTTTGGAAAAAATAATAATGCGTCAGTTAGTGGTTTAAGGTAAACTTAATTAAAACATGGAATTGTTGACGATAATCACTACATAGTATAAAACAAAGTCGCTTTCTCTGTCCCTATATCTGTCTGTCCCTATGTATGCTTAAATCTTTAAAACTACGCAACGGAATTTGATGCGGTTTTTTTAATAGATAGAGTGATTGAAGAGGAAGGTTTATATGTATAATAACATTCATTAAATAGTGGAGAAATCAATAATAAATTACAGTTTCCGAAGCGAAGCGAGGGCGGGTCGCTAGTACCTAATAAAACGGACCTTTAATTACAAAAATAAAGGTTGCGTATTAAGCGAAATGTCGCTTAAACCAAATAGAATTTCACATCTCGATTTGATATTACAATGTCAGAAACCTTTTTCTAGAAGTGGAGACAACAACTGTACAAAGTTTTAACTCAATCAGAATTATAAACTATATGGGAGTTGTGCTGTTCTTACTTCGGATCAAACAGTATCTAATTATACTCAATCAAAGTAATCATACATGTACCTATTACAATTTGAAAATAACGTGTAATTTTTAAATTAACGAATAATATATCTTTGTACACAATAAATATTAAATAGGTAATAAATAATTAATTAATAAAAACACTTTACAAATCTAAAGCGGTTAACATGAAATTGTATGAACAAAAAAAAAGTCTTTTAAGTGTCACAGTGAAATCGCACTTTCTGTTTCAAAGCGAAACGCGTTTTATGAATAGACATCAAAACCTATACACCAAGAGTAATAATGCAGACTTACCTTTTAGACTCAAGTTGACGTGTTAGGAAACGGTGCGATTTAAGAATTAATATTTAGCGCAACGATGGTACTTGCGTGCGTACTCTGCAAACGCGCTTGCTGTACTTAGTTCATTGTAGAGCGCGCAACGGCCAGCGTGAACCAACAACACAAATCGAAACCGCCGACAGAAAGTAGGCGACGATCAGTTATGATGGCCCTCGTGCACAATACAGCAGATTCTTGTTAGCATAAATCACAAGAATATTTTTCTTTTCAAACGATTTTAAATCATTTTACGAACTCTGTTCTTGTTACAGACAAAATATGGGTAAGATTGTGGGACAGTGAATTCGCGAAACTGTGCAGCAGGTATATGCACCATTGCACCGCGTAATGGAGGGGTTTGATACTTTTAAATTTGACGACACGATTTGTATACGTTATAAATCAATTTATTAAGTATTAAGACTTTGCTTATGTCCAGCAGTGGATGTCTGTGGGCTGAAACATAGTGAATAATAGTGTGGGTAAGACCGTAGGTTATGGGGTTTTTTTTCACTACCTTATTGCCAAAATAGCCTATTCAAGCCTAATAGAGAGGCTATTCTGGCTTCGTTGTCGTTTGGCGAGCTTGTGAGAAGTTGCCAACATTTGCCCTAGCAAGAGCAGTGTTTTGCTGAATGTTCCCGATCCATTAACGGTGCTTTTATGTACCACAAGCACCGGTTACCGTCCTCGTCGAACCCATCACTTGCGACGAAGGGCTCGATGAGCGAATTAGCCCATGAACATACATAGCCCACTGAGTTTCTCGCCGGATCTTCTCAGTGGGTCGCGTTTCCAATCCGGTGGTAGATTCTGCGAAGCGCTGCTCATGCTAGGGCCAGTGTTCGCAACCACACACATACACACACACTTCCGGTTTGAGCCCCGTGAGCTCACCTACATGTTAGGGTGAAGCTGAAATAGCCTCTCAAGGCTATCAGCGTAGGTAGGTTGTATCTGTGGGCTAAGTTGCACATTGAACTCTTACGTTAAGTTGCGTTCGTTAACGGCGACAATGATGAAGTTTATCTTGGATAGATTTATTTTTGATGCGAGGAGCTCTTAATTGTAAAAATCATTAAGCTGCTGTGATACGCAGAGCAGAGAACATGCGTCAGATAATAAGTGCAACTATAACGACACGATTTTATCGTATCGCAAAGAATAAAAGTTTTCGTTTTAGGCGCGTGAGGTTTTGCAATGAGCTGCCAGTATAAGCTAACATAGTTGCACCCATGAACGTAATTACTTTAAAATGTGTAAATGAAACATGTATGTACGACGTGGAATTATTCTATATTTAAAATTCGGATTTTATTGATTTCACTTAAAAACCAATTGACGATTTGTAGATACTGAGATTCGGATTCTGAGTTAATCATATATTTTTTTTTTAAATAATTCGTTGCGTTGGAGGAATTGTTTGAAGCAATCCCATCATTTTGCTGTTATTATCTCAACCCCCGTCATCCAAACAGAATTCATCCACATTATGTAGAAACACGGGTTCATCAGGGTGTTCCCAGATATATTTTTCCACGTATGTACCATGCGGCTTTAGAATAAAATTCCATTCACTATGTTTTTTTTTTCTTTTATTGCCTAGGTGTGTGTACGAGCTCACAGCCCACCTGGTTTTAAGTGGTTACTGGAACCCATAGACATCTACAACGTAAATGCGCTACACATCTTGAGATATAAGTCCTAAGGTCTCAGTATAGTTACAACGGCTGCCCCACCCTTCAAACCGAAACGCATTACCACTTCACGGCAGAAATAGGCTGAGCGGTGGTACCTACCCGTGCGAACTCACAAGAGGTCCTACCACCAGTAGTTACGCAAATTATAATTTTGCGGGTTTGATTTTTATTACACGATGTTTTCCGAGCGCTATGACATATCCGACTTCAAACGAGGCTTGCGAAAATTACTCAGTGCTCGTTAGCGGCGCGGCTGTGTCCCTGGTTTTACTGACATTCGTGAGATATTGTAGTAACCACTCACTACCAAGTATGTTAGCCTACCTAGAAAGGCTATAAACGAAACGGCACCATTATTAGTTGAAGTACGACTGTGTTCTTTAGTATTAATACTGCTCATGATAAAAGGTTGGGGAAAAAGTTTCTTCGCTTTTTTTAAGAAAATTCACAACATTTTTTAATATAGTTTATTTACATTTAACTAAAGTATGTAGGTACCATTTTGTTCGATAACTTTTTGCCATCTTGTAGGTAGGGATATGATCCCGTTGCTATATAAATTTTGGAGCTTCTGATCAAAACACCGCTACAATTGGTTTTGGCAGTCCTCTCGTGATGTTAACCTGACACTGCCTAAATAATTCTGAAGAGACCGAAACAGGTGGAAATCTGAAGGTGCAAGGTCAGGACTATACGGCTATATGCATTAACACCTTCCAGCCAAGCTCTCTTAATTTTTGCTCAGTGGCTAAAGATGTGTGAGGTCTAGCGTTATCATTCATTATTCATTCATTATTCATTATTCATTGATTTTTGTTGAGATAGTCATAACAGGTATGTAGACAAGTAGGGTAACCTATACTAAAGCAGCATTAAGGTACTGCGTATCTTTTATTATTTTAATATTTTCATAATAATAATATAAAAGACTTTAAAATTGCCGCCTAAAATCGAATTATAAAATCTTATAAAAGAAATAACGTAATTTTTATTTATTGGAAGCATAGGTACGATACTTTTCTAAGTGTCGTCTCAAGAAAATATCATAAATATTTTAATGTAAGTAAAAAAAAGCAATTGAGTCGACTATTATCAAAGCCGGCAATCTGACTTTTGGACAATTATTGGTAAATCAGAAAAACGATTTATTGACTTTGTATTCCATTGGCAGTCACAAAACTCTTCTGAACGACATCTTAGATAAATAACAGGTTAACTATTAACCTTTATTTAATGCAGGTTTTGAACCGTATTCTTTGAAGGAGACGATTATATTCAAATCAATCTGTATCGCCATATCAATAACATTTTTTTGTCCAAATACACAGATTGCCACCTTTGATAATAGACGACTCAATTAAAGTATTATAAATCATGTTTGCCTTTACAACAAGGAAGTGTTGTTAATAAACCTTCTTAGGACTCGTATTAAATAGTGGTGTCAGTATCAACAATTAGATTTGTTATTAACTAATTGTGATTCAGTGTCACTTCGTTCGCGTGTTCTCTCTTAGTTTAATGATAGGTAGTTATGACTTAGTGCATTCAGTTCAACAGACCATAGTACCGCAATAGCTTAGTAGGCTTTCGTATACATATCCTGTGTCAGTAATTGAAGTGTCAATGTAATTCCTATTTTATTTTAACTACGTAAAATTATGTATCTATGTATATATTAATACGTGAACCAAAAACTTTGTACCCTTTTTTACGAAAATTGCGCGGACGGAGAACTATATGAAATTTCCCACACTTATAGAAAATATAGAGAAGGAGTGCAGAATGAAATAAAGCTTCATAGACCGTTTTAATTTTTCTAAAAATGTTTTGAAAAAAACAGTAACCTAAATTTATAATCGCATTCGTTGTACGGGTGACGGTAGTAAGCTTTTTTGTACATTCAACTTACAATAAAAATATTGTAATTTGGACTGTACATAATTAAATGGCCACACTTTTAGCTTTGATATCTGAATGTTGCTTTTTTCTGAGATTTATTTATTTTTTAAAATAGGGGCGACAAAAGAATAATAATTGATTTAGGTAATGTAGTTTGCTCGTACAGTGTACCAATGTCGGGAGTTATTTTCAGTTGTAACCTGAGCCCGAAGAACCGTCGGTCATGTGTATGGCGCGAAACTATGTTACCCCACCGAAAGGCATAGCTGGCGGTCTCCTATTTTTGCCAGAGGGCTCTATGCATATGTCTATAAATTTTACAATGTACACGAGAAGGATACTTAAATCTCAACAGCAGCGTCTTAGGTTATGCAGAGCTTCATAGTTGACCACTGTCCAGGACAATTCAGATGACACGAAATGTTCCGTGACCATCAATTCAACATAACTAGAACAATAACGTCAATTATTTTAGAAAGTTTTGGGCTTTTTCTTTGCTTCAAAGACATCTATTAGCAGCTCGCGACGAGTATTTTGTTTAAGTCTATAGTGCCATCTAGCGGTAATTTTTTTAATTAGAATAAGGCCAACAGTGGTTTCATGGATTTACCACTAGATGGCATTGCATAATAGTTGTTGGGCTATTAAAACAAAATAAAAATCATATTATTATTTTGAATGTTTACTAAAATGATAATAAATAAAGCTAAATTTAATTTTAGAAGCTATGAGCAAATTTTTTTGACTAATCTGATGTTATTAAATTTGCATAAGCTCTTGCTTTCAAAATTAAGTAATCTATTCAACAATAGATGTCACAGTATGAATGTGTTCAACAGCATCTAGTTTAAAATTAATTCAAAACGACATAATGTAAGGTGATATCAGTAATGTTTTCGAGCGTGCTAATAAAGAGGTTATCAGATCATGAAGACTTTGTCTTAATAGTTAAAAAAACTCAGTGAAACTTTTAGCAAATAAAGTAAAGATTTCATAATTTCAAAAGTTTCGTATCGACAAAATATATTTTGGTAAAAGTGAACTTTCATTTAGAGACACAGAGAGAGAGAAAGATAAAATACACTTTATTGCACATCAAAACACAATTTGTATTCAAAAACAGTAAAAAAGTAGATAGATTTGTACAGCAGGCGGTGTTATCGCTAAAAGCTATCTCTTCCAGACAACCGTTTAATTTAGAGAAATTCTGGAAAATATAAAACTATAGTAGATAGGTATGTTGCGGTGTACCATTGACAATACATTATATAGAAAATATATACACATAGGTACAATAAATACAATAATTTAAATACACATACAATAAATACAATAATTTAAGTATGTACTTCTTTGTAATATTAATGATAATATAAACCGGCGAGGTTACAAACCACCTATGCTAAGGTTACTGGATATCGAATACAACAACGCGAATTCTACAACCCATCACGTTACACGAGATAAAATTCTAAATTATAAACCATATTAAGGTTATTAACGTGATGACTTCTGCGAAGCACTGCTCTTGCTAGGGGCCAGTGTTAGCAACACTTCCGGTTTGAGCCCCGTGAGCTCATCTACACGTTAGGGTTAAGCTGAAGTTGCCTCTCAAGGCTATCAGCAAAGGTAGGGATTTTTTTTATTTAATAAT